GAAAAGTGCAATTCGAAGCAAGGCTCCTGTGGAGGTACAGTTTCTTTTGAGCGAAAATCTGAACAGTCTTTAGCCATGACTGAAGAAGTGTAACAGATGCAATAGTAAGAATTAGATATTTAATTCGAATAGTCAGGAGAAGGGTTTTCATAAAAACTCCGTGATGTATCTGGAATTGGCGATTGATACAAAACGACAGGCCTAACTTTTACATAAGATAAAGGCTTTTGAAGACTTCAAGACTTGACCGTACAGTTTGAGAGATGACGTTTGAGAAATGGCCTTCCTCTCTTCCCCCTCCCCTCTCCTCCACTCCCTTCCCCACCCTCGATTTCTCGATCTTCAGAATGGCAGCGGCGTAATGAATAGAATTCTTGTGTCGCCTTTACAATTTTTTTGCGGTGGCCATCTGATATACAAGTCACTGTTTTCATCCTATCAGAATATGGTAACAATTACCTGATCTCAGAATATGGAAGGCTTCGTCGACCTAGTCGGATATCGATCGGAGGACCGGATCCGCGTACAGTTTATCGGTTCTGTGCTGATATTGGCCGACCGGCTCAACACGTGTGTTGTACGTGTGAGTGCTGATAAGCTATGACATATAAGCAATTAAGAATCCGAGGGCAAGAGGGGTCTCGGTAGTGTAAGGGATAAGAGCACGGTCCCCGGAAAGGATAAGCACGGGTTCGAGTCCCGTCCGAGACTGGAGTTTTGCCCACAGAGGGCCAACCTTGTGAGGCTTTCGCTTCGCGCACTGCGGCGTTAAAACAGCAGTTAACAAAACATCAAGTCAAAACAAGTTATATGTTTTAATAGTATTTTTCATTATTACCTGAAAAGTAAATGTTCAGATCACCTGAACGATGCCGACTTCGTTCTATTTGTTTCCGTATTGGAGCGTGGTTGTACAGGAGACATGTTGGCCTATGCTTCTCATTGTGGACTCGATCCTTTCACCTACAGGTTAGCTCAACTTTCCTAACCAGTACAAAACTCTGATATGTAGACTGATAAAACGCCAGCGAGTAGGTTATAGACTCTGATGTACCAAAATTTGGCCCAAATCAAGGGAAAGTTCAGCCGATGTGAAAGAAATACTTTACTTGCTTTCGGAATGTGTGCCAGTGAAGCCACTGTTGCCCAGTGCTCTCGCAGAGTTAACTATACACCCGAGACGATACTGACGTTGACGTCCAACCAAGATGGTCTCACGTGGCCTGATCCTGACTGGACGTCATTGGCTGGCTGAAATTATTCGCCTTCGAGTTGAAGGGATTGGTATATATCACATCATAAAGGGGTGATTTACAAATAGCACTGTTCTGTACTAACCTGGTATGACCACCGTCAGTGGGTTGACGGTTCGCGCATGTGGTCCACTATTTGGTATCACTAAACTACACCTATGACATAGCTAGTTTGTTCGTTTTCCCATCACAGGCGTTAGACACAATAGATGTATGGCGTACCAGTCGGTTCACCCAATTTATGACATGGTGTAGTCATCGACATCCGGTCATTCCTTTTTTGGAACAAATGATACTTTTCTGTACATGAGATTCGGCACAACAACAGGCGCAGATTTTCACCTGTCACATATACGACGGGTGGGAAAGGGGCCTTGGGCAAGGACACGCGCTGGGTGTTGGGCAAGCCAGGGAGTTACTGTAAGAGCCGAATTCCGTGTCTGTTTCTGTTTCACTGGCAGGCAAGCGAGGCCTGGAATGGTACTACCAAATGGTTGGGAATCCCAGAATATTGACAGCAACGATAAAATTTGTCAATTTTTTTTGAAATAATGTAGAAGCGCAGAGAAACCGTGATACTTTGTTGAGACCAATGCTTGGTATGTAGCAGTCGCAATCCATGTATCAAATTTTCATCTCTTCACAATGTAGTGCCTTGAATCGATCGTACCATAACGCCTTTTTCAATGAGAGATATTCTATGGCGCAGTTCACAATAATTTTGGCTTATCCGGTTTTCGTCAGATGAAGGAAGTGATAGCGCAGAATATTGCAAAGATAATGAAGAAAACGTGAAAAACGGAATATTTGCAAAAATACAGGGCTCCAACAAAGTGGTAAATTAGGCTGTTGGACGAGATCGGAAATAATGGTGCGGCAGAAGGGGTGTGTGGCGATTCCTGCGATTCAGGGTGCGCGCGGCATATTGCCCGGCGAAATTCAGTGCGATTTGGACGACTGCAGCGTTTACCATTGGGACCCAAATTTGAAGTAACGTAGGTTAGTAGGATTGTCCGACCTTACTGAAGTACTCTACTTCAAGTTTGTGCCCCGATGATAGGCGCCAGAGTTGTTTGAATCATCGCGAATTCTGCCGCGCAATTTGCCGCACGCACCCAGAATCGCACGAATCGCTCGACCCCCTTGCAGAAGTGTTCGGGCCAGCTGTCCGCGTACTGCAACTGCGTTCAGCTTATTTAGCAGGCGCTGATGGATCGGGTTAATCTTCTTCCGCGATTCTGCTGCATTGTGGACATTCTGATGCAAGTAGCATTCAGTGAATCGAAAGAAATATAATTCCCACCCCCTTCTTCTTGAACACTCCCTCACCACTCGGCGATCAGTTGATTGCATGCTGAACGAGTGTGTCCTGACGCAAACAAGCAATCTGTATCGCGTCGACAACTCTTTTGGCATATCATCGTTCAATGGGCTTGGGCGTCGACGAATCCGATAGTGCGCCTCCTATTCGGCCCTTGAGTTTTTCGACTCGACAGCGTCCTTTACCCATAGGGGGAACTGGGCAATCCCGAAGGAAAAGCTTGGAAACCATTTTTATTTTTGCTTTTCAATTCGAAGCTTCCAGATACCAACGCGTTAAAAGGCTCAATATATAGGCTTCCAATTCATTTAGGCCGACAGCGGGTCTCGTGAACTTCTGTCCGGCAGTCTTGAAGAGGATGAAATCAATCGAATTTCTCTATGGAATGACCACCGTCAAGCACGAACTCACTCATGCATTCGTGTTCGCCATGGAACTCTATCCTTTCTTTCCCGGAGCTGGACCTCGTCAATGGTAGGAGCGATTCTTATATAGTGATGGCTCAGGATCATTTTCAAAGATTGCAGTTCGTCCGATAACAAGATTGAGGAAGGCCGCTTGGGTGGCGGACTTTGTGTTTGATTTCCTACGACCGTACACACCTACTAATTAAATGAAGAGGGACTCCCCAGAATTTTTTTCCTTTCATTTGATATCGTTCCAGTGTGATATTGCACATGGTTCGCGGCATAACACTAGTAGGCTTCAGCATGAGCTCCCACGATCTAATTAGGGGTCCGGAACCTTCTCCCCGATGACGGCGTCGCGCACTCTGCACCCGCCGCGTATGGCAGGATTGCGATGGAAGATTGGAGCGCGCAATTATTGGGGTAGGGACTCCTTTAATTATTTGAATTGGCTGGCCGCTCTCTTCAATTCCAATGCGGTATTGATCGTCACTGATGTAGGAGGAGTCATTCTAATTAAACAGATAGTCTGATAATTATAAAAACAAGAAAAAGAAAGATAAAAATCGATCAAAACTAATAAAAAAGAAAGGCTACCAACGAAAAATATTGC